CAGATCTGCGCATCCCCCCCAATAGCTGGCAATCCAAAACAGTCCAGTGGAGCCTGAGCGGTGGGTGTTGCCTTCTGACACACTTCTGGTGATGCCAGGGGGTGTGGCACATGCAAATGAGTTATGCTAATGAGCTCCTGCACCTCTTTTTCTACGAAATGACCCCTGGACTTGGCCAAAAACAATTCAGACACATTCAAACCAACATGGGCTTCAAACACACAAGTAGGGCAGAAAGGGATTTTAAGCAGCCCTCCTCGAGATAAACCCCTGGAGCGAGGGAGGCCCTTCCAGCGACCCCTGTCCAAATCACGAATGCCGCCTCACACACGAAGCTGCCTTATCCTGAATGAGACCATTTCCAGTCTTTATTCCTCATTTATACTAAATGAGAGACCCTGAGTCTATCATGGTTGGTATTGTCTGCTCAGACTGGCAGCTGCTCCCCAGGGTCTCCGGCAAAGGTCTTTTACACTACCCGCTGCCTGGTCCTTTTAACTGGAGATGCCGGGGATTGAACCTGGGACCTTCTGCATGCCAAGCAGATGCTCTACCACTGAGCCAAGGCCCCTCTCTGAAAAAACCCTGGGTCCATCAAGGTCGGTATTGTCTACTCAGACTGGCAGCGGCTCTCCAGCAGAGCTCTTTTGCATCATCTACTCCCCAGTCCTTAACTAGAGAGTCCAGGGATTGAACCTGGGACCTTCTGCATGCCAAAGCAAATGGTCTACTACTACACAGTCTCTCCCCTGAAGCTGCCTTCTACTAAATCAGACCCTGGGTCCATCAAGAGCAGTCTTGTCTACTCAGGGCGGCAGTGGCTCTCCAGGGTATGAGGCAGAGAAAGGTCTTTCCCATCACCTGCTGCCTGGTCCTTATTGGAGATGCCGGGAATTGAACCTGGGACCTTCTGCGTGCCAAGCAGAGGCTCTGCTACTGACCAACAGTTCCTCCCCAAGACTGGGTCTGCTCTTCTGTAGAAAAGTAAGGAAAGGGCGAGTCTTGCATTCCTCCAAAAGGACAAAAATCCAGGGGAAACGAAAGTAACTCTCGAGGGCCAGGGTGGAGACCTGGACAGGTCTCAACGAAAACTGATCTTGTAATAACGCACATCAAACAATTTTCCAGTATACAGCCAGTTTGGTGTAGTGGTTAAGTGTGCAGACTCTAATCTGGGAGAACCGGGTTTGATTCCCCATGCCTCCACTTGCACCTGCTGGAGGACCTTGGGCAAGCCTTAGTTCTGTCAGAGCTGCTCTCTCAAGGACAGTTCTCTCAGAGCTCTCTCAGCCCCACCGACCTCACAGGGTGCCTGTTGTGGGGAGGGGAAGGGACAGGAGTTTATAAGCTGCTCTGAGACTCCTTTGGGTAGTGAAGGGCGGGGTATAAATCCAATCTCTTCTTCTTCTTCTATAGATCTTATTCTTATGCCAGATGATTTGCTTTTAAATACTTGGGGATCCATAGTCCCTTCTTATTCCACCAGAGAAAGAGTCTCTTTACTGCTCTATGCTGTTCAGGATACTATTGCATTGAATTGGAAGTCAACAAAATCTCCTACTCTTACACAATGGCACCAAAAGATATGGAACCTGTATAGCATGGCAAAAACCACAGACAATCTGACACGCCTTTCTCAGCCATCTATGCACTCTACCTTCTCCACAATTCGGTTACCCAATACTTGAATATCTCTCATCGCTGCACGAAATTCCCAAAATGATTCATCTTTGGGAATGATTATAGTGTTCTCAGTCATTATATTCTGCTTGTCAAAGCTTAAAATTACCGTTTGTTCGTTTAATGGAAAATTAGTCCTTTACATCTCTGTTACAGCTTACAGATTGCACCTCATTGTTTGATCTTATTGTGCCATGTTTGTATTGTTGTTAAAGTTCAATAAACTGTTAATTACCAAAAAAAACCCAAAACTGATGTTTTCCCTGCCGGCAACCAAAGACAACTTTGGAGGCTTCAGAACAAAGACCATCATAGATTCCCATCCGAAGAGAGTCAGCCTTCAGTTTCCTAGCTGAGAATAAAACCACAACCTTGCTGGATCAAGATCTGGGAGGCTCGGGTTCGAATCCTCACTTGTGCCATGGAAACTCACTGGGTGACCTTGGGCCAGTCACACGCTCTTGCCTTGCCTACCTCACAGGGTTGTTGTGAGGATAAAATGGGAGAAAAGAGAATCATGCCAGCCGCTCTGGGTCCCCATTGGGGAGAAAAGGCAGGGTACAAATGAAGTACTCAAGAACATGGTCAGCAAGAGGCCCCCAGAAGAAAACCAGGAGGCGGGAATCCACAGCCCTCCACTGGCATCTCCTGTGCTGGGCCCTGGCATTCAGAGATGCCAAGGAAGGCACATACCTGGCATTCTGAGCTCAGACAATGCAGCCTCCCCTCTGTGGCATCACCAAGCCAAACCCAGGCCCTTTATTTCATGTTCTCCCAAAGTTACCAGGGTCTTTTTTTTCCCAGAAGGGAGAAGAGAACAAGTAAGAGTGTGAACAAGTGGGCATCCACACCTTTCAAAATCCCCCCCCCCCCCGAATATCCTCTCTGGGCTGCAAAGATCTTCTTCCCACTTTTGTAACAACAAGGAAAAGAAAGCAACAGAAGCATCGCAGGAAATCCCAAACCCGACAAGGGGCGGCCAAGGCTGACACAGAGCCGTGCGTAAGAGCAGACTGCCCCCTGGTGGTGCAGCATCAGTCCCACAACCCATCGGAACAAAACAAAGTTTTGAGTCCAGGGGCACCTTTAAGACCAACAAAGTTTTTACTCTGGGTATAAGCTTTTGTGTGCGCGCACACTACTTCAGATACCCGTCGGAACAAAACAAAATCCAGCTAGGATTTTCCCAAGTTGGAAAATGAGAAATTCTATAGTTGAGACTATTCTTCCTCTGGGGGTGGGGTGAGGGGCTCAAAGGCTTTCGGTCAGCACAGTTCTTGAGTTGCTGGAGTTCATGCGTCAGCTTCTTCCCTGGGACTGAAAAGTATGCAAAGATGGCGGAAGAGTCCTGTGTAACTTGACAGCCTGCAAGCCAATGTTTTTTTTGTTCTTGCCTTCCTTGCTCAGTGGGAAAGCGTGCGCGTGTGTCTTAGAACTAATGAGACTGGGTGCATTATTTCATGGTGTGGCGGAACGGGCCCGCGTCAGTGAAGGGGCAGTTTTTCACCACTGCCTCCGGGTATTGCTGCCACCACTGTCCCTGTCTTGGGCTCTGGGTAGGCGGGACAGCCTCCTAACCTCCCTCTGATGTCGCTAGGAACCCATCTCGGGGCTTCCTGGCAATCTTTGGGGCTCCCCTGGAGAGTTGGCAACTGGCTCTTTTGCGCTTGTTCTCCTCCTCAGGGAGTCCCCAACCCATTCCTAGCATGTCCAAGCGGCTGGGGGAACTATGCGGTGCAGAGGTACTTCTCAGTGTCAACAGTAAAAGGATTTATTTTGAAACCACTCAACTCTATAAAGGTAAAGGTTCCCTTGCTCGAAAGCCAGTCGAGTCCGACTCTAGGGTGGCGGTGCTCATCTCCATTTCAAAGCCGAAGAGCCAGCGCTGTCCGAAGACGTTTTCGTGGTCATGTGGCCGGCATGACTAAGCACCAAGGCGCACCGAAGTGGTACCTATTTATCTACTTGCAATTTCTTGCTTTCGAACTGCTAGGTTGGCAGGAGCTGGAACCAGAGACGGGAGCTCACTCCGTCATGCGGCACACCCCGGTCTCGAACTGCTGAACTACCGACCTCCCACAGCCTGCAGTTCAGCGTCTTAACCACTTGAGCCACCGCAGCTCCATACTCAACTCTATACAGGCCTATTAACAGTGAACTGAAGGATCAACATAAAGGTGGATAATAAATCGCTCCCTCTCTCCCTTCACTACACCTACCCTGTCTAGATGGTCTGGAGGGCAGGCACACGACTTGCTTTCCCTGGAGGAAGTTAGATTAGCACCACTCCCAACATGGCCTCTCTGCCTCCTCCTGCAGACTCCGGCCGACAGCCTGACTGGCTCCAGACTTCAGGCAGACCGACCTCCATTCTCATAGACCGGCTTCCCGCCCAAAAGCTCCACTAACTCCTCCCAGGAAGTGGCTCTCCCTCCTGCAGCATTCTGGGGCAGATCTCCTCACAGCCTTGATGGACTTCCTGTCCTCTCTAGGGAGCTGCCCTCAGACTACTGGTTGGAGAATCCTGGGGCAGATCTCCTCCCCCACCACGATGGACCTCCTGTCCTCTCCAGGGAGCTGCCCTCAGACTCCTGGCTGGAGACAGGAGAGGAAGGGGGGGATGAGGAGGAGGAGACTAGGCCAAGGCCTGCCTCAGGGTTGATGGTCCCCTCCTATCTGGCCCACACCAACTTAAACGTATACACAAAATGGCGTTTCTCCACAACATGGTATCACAAAGTCATCCCCCACTCTGAACAAAGTTTTAGTGCACAAAGGACTGAAATATTTCTCAGTGTGCTCATGTATCAGGCTATCACGCCCTGAAAAGGAAATAAAGAACCCTTATTGAGAGTCGGTTTGCTG